TATTTCTGTTATCACTGTTTTATTGCAGGATGTGTTGAATGCAACAGGGAAGAGAATATATTGTACCCTCAAAGATCTTTGAAGCCCAAACTGAGGTTTGGGGTATCCTTGAACAAGATGATTGGGAGGGATGGTTTCACTTTCAAGGTACTGAATCAGTTCTATCTGCTGTTGCTACTTTTATCTTTTCAACTCTTCTTATGATGACAATTATATTTAGGGTATAAGAGTGGAAGTCTCTTGCTAATGTTGACTTGGAACTCTTTTTGCTCTCACATGACTCCTTGCTGAGTTGTTCTTGAAAATGAATAAACTGTGAAATCGTTGCAACCTAGCAATGGCTGACCAAATGGAGCCCGACCACGGGAAGGGTATTCTATCTAGTTTTAGTTGAGCGAACAAATCACGGCCTCCCTCAAAAGAGGCTGATTCAGGGTTTGAAATATGGCTGTTACAGCTGTTATATCGACCATTATAAAGGTAACGAACCCTGGAACTTATATTAAGGTAATGGGCAAGGTGTAGAGTATAGCCTACAGCCTATATATCAAATAATGGCTGTTGTTTCATTTACAGCTGCCGTTACAGAACTGCTTAAAGCGGGTTAAAAGGTTTACAATTTTTCTAGATAAAATGGTGTTGAGAAATGAAAATAACAACTGGGAATAACGGAAGTAACAGCCTTTGTAAAAGGGAAAATTTGACCTTTTCCAAAAACACAAAATAAATTTATTTTTGGAATATTCTCTTTTGTGTAGTTCTATGGGGACCTTTCCCCTTCCTGTGGAAGGAATATAACTTAAAACGTCGCATTGTGGTGCCCTGACCTGATTCCTATTATTTCTGGAATATTCCCATGTTTCGTTCTTCGTTTTTCCATTATTTTCCGCTTTTTCTTTTTATTTTACTTATTTTTCATTTAATTATTTTATTTTGGGTAAAAAACAATTTTAAACCTTAATTATGGTGGCTCCATCTCCCTTTTTCTGTTTTTTTAGTATTGGAGTAAAATAAAGGAAATATGAGAGTAGAACATTGAAACCTAGACACAAGGGAGTTCTGCATAAATTTCATCTAATTCAACCTCAACGCATAGGAATCGAGCTTGGGCTTGATTGGTTGGTGGTTCATGATTGCAACATTAAGTCCCAAGTTTGATTCCTAGTGTAGAACTACCCAAGAGAAAGAAAAACCTCAAAGTACTTGATAAACGTCTGAAAAAGCATTCGCCTGTTATGGAACATGTAGACACTCTGGAAGTCGTACTGGAATGAGAAATACATCCTCACAGTACTGCCAAAGTCATACCAACAAGCTCGAAACCTCGAAGTCTTGATTACCTTTAAGGTACACTTCCTTTTGAAATTTGAATTTGAATTTCACTCAAGCAGGAGGAGCATTTAAATCACTTCAATAGGAGAAACATTCAAGTAGAATTCATCTATTTGTGACAAGCCTATCAGTTCTTAGAAATATTTGACAGTCATATTGGCTTTTTATCTATTTGTGCAGGTGGGTGCCACAAGCTTATCTGTTCTTAGAAGTATTTGGCAGTCATATTGGCTTTATCAACATTGGAGATCAGACTCTGTTTATGAGTGTACTGTGGAGAGCTTATTGAATTTGGAAGAAGGATTTGATGATTTCCTTCAACAGTTGAAGAAAGCAGGATGGGATATCAATATGATCACTCTTAAGGTCCCAAATTCACTTGTTATTGAGGAAATAAATCCTCCAATTTCCTAGCATGAGCTTGTATCCCTCTTTGAGGTTCCAAATTCACTCGCTAATGAGAGAATAGATTCTCCAATATCCTCTAGTACGGAGTCATAATACTCTCTCTGTTGCCGTGTGCGTGCTCACACACGCACACACAAACATACACCCACACATTTTATATCTGATGGATAAACCGCACAAAGCTTTGCCTCAATCATTTATGCCAAACAATAAAAGTTGGTTATTGTTTCATGGATCAAGAAAGCCTCTAAAAGTTGGTAACAGGCTCAATTCATGACATGGTTATTGTTTCATGGATCAAGAAAGCCTCTAAAAGTTCGTTTCATGGATCAAGAAAGCCTCTAAAAGTTGGTAACAGGCTCAATTCAGTCTTTAGACATTCCTTTGCAAGTTAATGGGCTGAAGAGGTTTACATATCTAAAATTTGGGGTCCAAAAATATAGGGTTTTACCCAAGGGAGTAAGTTAACTGTATATTACTATAGTAATATAATCTCTTTCGAATTTTCTTTTTATTTGTTATTTTTTACCTTATTAACAAAGATTTGCATGGACTGCTGCATTATGCAGTTTTGTAAGACATAAGAAACACTTCTCAATTTATGAGAGCTACCTTATTACCTAACGGTTTTGTAAGACGAACACTTTCATTAATGAGAGCTACATTATTACCAAAGGAAAAGGCTGGACGCACCTTTGAATATGCATGACATGCCATAAATATGCAATTAAAGATGAAATAGGGATAGTCTAAAGAGATCATTTATCTTTTTTTGTACATAGGAGTTATAATCATTTCCACCCATTAAATGGATTGGAGTGAGTCACGAAATTTGAGAACTTGTTTTCTGCGATTGTATACAATGAGACCATATTTGGTACAGGGAAGTTACAATTACTTACAACTATCTAATGTGAAATCTACTAGTTGTGTTGTGTCATCAAGTTCAAGAAATTTTTTTTTGAACTTTGAGATTGATCAATGAAATAAATGTTGCCACCCAATTTCACATCCAATGGTTAAGATTAATTGTGATCACTTTATATCAAAGATAAATGATCTCAATACATATTTTTCTTTTTTTTTTTAAACTTCGTATTTATTCAAAGACACTCTTACAACCACCTATTTTGATATTTAAGGGACAATAATGATTGTTTCCATCACCTACTGCTTATAACCATTTATCAACATCTTACTACTATCAATCCAATAAAAATGGATGGTCCACAAAATTCGGAATGTTTATAAATGAATCTGAATTTGTCAATGCCCCGTTGGATTACCCAAAGAGTGGTGGTCTATGATCACTGTTGACAAAGCCACTCACCCATGCCATTATAAAAGAAAGAAAAAAAAACTGAAATGATCACCAAATAGAGGTGAATAGATCTACATATATATTATATATGGATAAAGTTTATACAAGGTGTTTAAGCCTTTTATGATCACCTGATCCTATTTAAGAAAGATCACCTAAAAAATGATCACCTTCACCTGATACTGTTTAAGTAAGATCACCTAAAAAATGATCACCTTATACTATTGAAGTAAAATGTACTTCAAAAGTCCCATAGAAGAGAGTAAAAGATTATTTGGACCGTAAACTTCCTAATATTATAAATCCAGAATTAGTTTTATCTTGTAAAACATTATTTGGACCGTAAACTTCCTAATATTCGTAGATATGTGACATTTACTCCATTTTTAAAGCTCTAAATTTCATAATAAAAGGTATGAAAATATTTTCAAAACCATTATAGGGTTTTTTTGGGTAATTCAGTGGGGAAAACAGCCCCTGTTTTTTCAAATGGTTTAGGAATTAAATTTTTTTTTAAAGGTGTTAGTGGGACAGTGTCAATGCGAATGGAAATCACAAGGTGGTGACTACGGTGTGGGTATGCTGCCACCACGACCCCAGCCCTTCTTCTTTTATAGGGTTTTTTCGATCGCTAAAACTGCATTATCCTGAGAACTTCCTATATATGAACATATCAGGTATGTGCTCATATGCGTGCATATGTACATGGATGCAAATGCTTATGCATGTCCACAAATGTCAGTTACTTTTGCGAGTGCACCCAATATTATCCTCTTTCCTCAACATTGGATGCACCAAATGATATATGGGTTGGTAGATCAAGATGTGAAAATACCTACAATCATGTACAGTTAATGGAACTTACTAAACTCAATTCTGTAGTTCTGTACTCGATAACAAATGGTCAAAAACTTGGAACTCCATGCCAATACTTGGAAGAATGTTTTACATCAAACACTATGAAGAAGTTCGATATTTTCATTTTGAAGGTAACTACAATGACATTTTTTTTTTATAAATGTACCTTAGGAAAATGACATTCGTTTATGCCATGACATATATGTTAACTTTTAAAAAAGGCAATCTAAAATGAGACCATTCGCTTTTGGTACAAAAAGGTCACAATTACTCCTATTAGTTAGATGTGAAATATTACGGCTAAAGGTGTATCATTTATTGCTCTCGAAGTCCAAGGAAATTTTCCTCAAGCTTTGTGCACAGGTGAATGATACAAACCACCAATCCGTTTTCACATCTGATAGCTTAGGGAGTTTGTGACTTTTGTGTATGAAAGATAATTCTGTATAATCTCTCATTAAAAGAATAGCCACAATGTTCCAAGATGAAAGGATCTGTGAGTTCCATTTCATCAACAAAAAACTTGTTAGAATTATAATAAAATTGGAGCATTTTATGATCAATGAAAAGCTTAGAAATCCAAGGAATCCAAAGAGCGCTAAGAAATAGAAAACAAAACGTCCAGCAAGGCAGAAAATGACAGAAAATAACATAGCATCAGCCAAAAAAAGGGTCACCTGGTTTAGATCTCAAAAACTATAGCAAATGGTTCGTTATATGCTAGTACGATTTCAATGCATTTTCTCCTTTGGAAAGCAACTACTTTGTAACATCCATTGCTTCATGTTCGTATAAGCTGCAATCACCACAAACTGAGAGAAGCATAAAACCATGATAAATGCCTCAAAGATGAAGGGATATCTCTTAGGAGGGGTCACTGACAGGTAAATAACATGAATGACAAGAAAACTCAACAGACAGAGGGCCATCAACACCTTCCTAAAGCCAAAAGAAACTCTCTCTCTCCTACGATGTCCCCCGAAAACTTGAGGCGTAAAGTAGAGGAGGTTGGAGAGAAGCAAAAGAGCTCCATATGGTACAACCAACCCATCCCGACAAAGAAGAGGATACATGGAAAGCATAGCGTAGCATGAAAACCAGTGGAAAAGAAGAGGCTCTTCCAAAGCCAAGAGGCTCATCGCTACCAGTGGCAAAAGGACAGACTTCTCGTGAACTGCAATTTTCCACAGGTGACCGATTAGTACAAAGAATAATCTATCAACCAAACAGGCAAAGGACATATCGCTATATACACACACATTACCTTGGAAAGAGAAGAGATAGAAGGAAAATGAACTATTCAGCATAGCATAAAGGAAGCCTTGGCGACTAGGCACACTGATTTGGTGAACCGTCGAGGGTAAAATCGATGCTAGAGTAGCACCAAAGCTAAGCAAGCGCAGTGTTTGCATAGAGAAGAGCCGCTTCCACTTTATGACAAATGACGTGCTACACCAAAAGTTAGCCACATAGTCCTCGTATATTCCCCTCTCAAAAGGGGCCAGGCGACGAAGAACCTGTGTGATAAATTATCAAAAAGAGGCTACAATGACAATAACTGCATTTCAACATGATAATAAATGAATAATTTCACACCAGAGGAAAGGACCCAACAGAGCAGAGAGGAGCAAGATGAGTTAAATGTCAGAGACGAATACTCACTTCTAAAATTGCTTCAACAGAAGAGAGATAAGGCCACCAAACAATGATGAAAGTTCCGAAGACCACAAAACCTAGTTTCATAGTCTCTAGTAGCGGGTTCTTGCGACGGATGCATTTCCCTAATAAATGGCCAAAAAATGCAGGTGCATAATATGCACTCATCTGAGAGTAAAACAAAATGGATATTAACAATATGACTAGATAAGTATGAACAAATTGAAACATAAACAAGCTAAGAAACATGGAATGTGATGATAACCTGCTTGTGGTTGAGTGCTAGACAATATAACACAGAAGCAAGCACATCATTCTCAGAGATGATAGCAGCGACTGCTCCAATCGTTAAACCAAGGCTGATGCAATTATACTGTTAAAGTCACTTAAATCAGAAGCAACTATGCACAACTATGGCAACAACGCACAATCATGGGCCAACATTATAGGAATTTCAACTAGTATGTCATATTTGTGAAAATACACAAGCATGAGAGACTAGAGGGAACTAAATTCAGAGGACCTCAATAAAGCTTGTACTCTGTTCTTTTACTTGCTATAAAAGTAAAAAAAATACCTGAAAGTGACCATGATCTATCAAAATGACACCTGGAAGAAGTAAAATCATGGCAAGTTGCCATGCAACTTCATCATCTTTACGACCAGCATAGTAAACAATAACAAAATACAGAGCTGCTGGAAAGAATACGAGTGCATCTGATGACAATACCGTCCACCTCATCAGGAGCTTGCTACCAAAAAAACAAAGAGAATTACAAGTAGAAATGGGAAACTCGAGCTTCATCACTAAAGTTCCAGATCTGACGTTACATTCAAAATGAGCAGTAACCCTTCTACATGGAAACAATTTTGATAAAGAAGGTCAAATGGCCTGATCAAAAGTCATCATAAGGAAAAATGGCACTTGGTACATAAGACAGATTCCCCCACCTCCCCCCTCCCCCCCCCCCCAAAAAAAAAAGATGCAGCAAATAGAAAGCTGAACCCTAACTCAATGGAACTTCTTTGTCAGGGCAAATTAACTTGCTAGAAATTCACAAAGACAAGCTCAGACAAGCAATCAATTTTTTTACTGGTTTTTCCTTTGAAACCCATTGGGCACCATTACAACGAGAGAGAGAGATTGGGAATGCACAGATAGATACCTGAGAGGAGTTTCATAGCCTCTGGAAGAGGAGAGGGCGACAGAATTGGGGTCGAGGGCTCGGAGGAAGATGCCATGGAAGTAGCTCTGGTAAGCAGTGAGGGGAGGATAGTCGAGGCCCCAATAGGCAAGATGGTTGAAGGTGGTGTTCTTGTACCATTCTCGAGGTGGGATGTTTATAGTAATCTCCATCCAATGGCGTTGGGCTTCATAGTCCCCAAACATGGGGGGCCTCCGTGCACCTGCAATTAACAATTGATTCATCCAATTTTTCTATACTTAGAAAATTAAGAAGACATTCATTCATTACACTGATCTACATTTTCAGTTCTTTTTGTTCTAGTAGGGGAAGGCAAGGAAAGATAAAGAAAGTACGCAAGAGATACAAGGGTACAAACCAGAGTAAGGATGGAGAGAAACGAGAATGCGAAGGAAAAAGGCAAATAGAAGGATGGACAGGAGAGTGAATTTTCTATGTAGAAGCCAAACGACAACACGGTCTGATTTTTTAGTTGGGTTCCTCTCCTCCTTCCCCTTCCCTTCCATTGTTTTCGTTTGTGTTGTCTCCATTGCAGCTCCTGGCTTTCCAATGCACTAGACTTGCAAAACTACACCCAAGTTGGATATGTATACCTGCCCAAAGCAAGGTAAACTAAGTGCAGCAATACAATACAGCCATACTAGATATTTTGTTATATTTTCAAGCAATTCAGGTCATTTATTTCATAGATAGATGATTTTTCCATCAACTTGAACAAAGGATAGATGTATATATCATCTGGACCATATGAAGAATAACACTGTTAAACTCATGTATAGCAAGACTGAACATTAAGCTGTTCATATTCTTTTAGAATCTGATAGCTCCTGCAAATTTGTGCTCCCTCCCTCCCTCGAAATGCAAAACCAGGTTTAGGGACAATGTTACTCAGATGGCTTTTGGATGAAACCCAGGATATTGCAAATCCATTGTTTGGTTGATCTATCTCTAAAACCTGAATTTGACAGTTTAATGTTAAAACATGTCAACCATTCATTACAAGTTTTGTTGATAAGATATCAAGATCTATCCAATGAAGACAATTTCTAGAAATAATTCCATAACATGACTAACAAAATGGACTGTTCAGATTATCAGCTTTAGATAGCTGTTAAACTTTCACTTTCCATCCCTCCTAAATCATAAGATGTTGAATAGAAATTGATACATTCATGTGATATATCAACCAAAATAAGTTGTCATATCAATGCTGTGATATCAATTTTCCACAAGTGCTTTGAGATTACTCAAATTTCACGAATAAAAAGTTCATATATGCAATGGAATATGGTAAGAAAGATCCATAAATACCCAGATTCTAATTTCCTGTTCATTCTCCCCCATGAAAAGAAAGTTCATTGTCACATACAAACAATAATAATAAGGGATTAAACACAGAAAACTGTTAAATTCCACATGATATTTCAAGGTTTACAGCTTCATTTCTTCATATTCGAAAAAATAGATCAAGGTCTCTTCTTCATATTCAACAAAATGCAGACTACTTCTAAAATCCAAAAAATATAAATTGAAAGATCCACTCTCCCAATACAACCAGAAAACTAGCAACTTTGAACCCCCCAAAAAAAAGAAATATATATTAAAGAAAAACAAATGAAGAAAACCGAATCAGAACCATAAAATTTCATAAAAAACCAGGCATCAGTTATCTCCAAACCCATAAATATAGCAAAACACGCACCAAAAAGAAAAACCAAATAAAGAAAACAAAAAACAAAAGAACTGAAATCCAACCAAATGTCAGGAACTATAAAATTCAAAACACCCTTAAAAAGAAAAAAAAAAAGCAGCAATAGGAAATGATTAAAATATCAGCAAAAGAGAGGAAACCCATTAGCATCAAAGGATTAATTTTTTCAAACCAAAAAATAATAACAAGCATCAATAGAAGTGATAAGAATCACAGTATTGTAGCACCTCATACTACAATGATAGGGGAAGTCCAGTGCTTGTTCCCTGAGATATTTGAGTGGGCTTCAATGATGGTTTGATCCACACAAAACAGCAAAGTTCCTAGGAGTTGCAGGAATGCGAACCTCCTTAAAAAACCAAACAAAATTATATTACAGAAGAAATACATTTCCCGATAATTTCTTAACCAAACTTTCGTAGATTAGATTCAGAGAACAACGCAAGAAGACTTTCATGCTTATCACCATATAGCAAAAAAAAGACCAAACAGAAGTTTGTGACAATGGAAGGAGAGAGAGCCCGAGGGGGAGAACCCAGAATCAGGTTGATCAGAACAAGGGACCATAATAGGGTATTGGGGGTTGAGAGAGAGAGAGAGAAGAAACGAGAATTGGGCTTCGTGGATTTGGATCGAACCTGTTCAGGTACCCTGTAATCAAGAATGAAAGAGTCAGGTCTTGAAGCCTCAGAAACAAAGGGTCTGAAATTCTCGTCTCTCTCTCTACTCCCTTTTTTCTCTCTCTAGCAATGGCCTCGATCATAACCACAATTTACAGAGCTGAAGCCCGATAATAAGAACAATATCGGAGGTCGCAATCCCTTCACACTAGGCCATGAGCCGAGCATTAGCACGGTGGCAAAAGCGTCGGGTCGGGGTCGTTCCGGTCAGAACCGTACTTGTCAGACCCCGCCTGGATACGATCGAACTCCCATGGACTCGGACCCGGATCAGAACGGACCCTTGACCGGTCCCAAAAATAAAAAATAAAAATATTAAAATATATTTAAATGTTATGTTAAATATATGGAAAAAGTTTATATAGAGCCGAGGTTCTAAACAATCAAATTAAAGCACACCTCAAAAGTTTCATTAGAAGAGGTTGTTTTGATGCCCAAATATCCTCAAATTGATCATCTCAACATAAAGATGCATGAACATGAGAAAAAAATGGATTTCAAGTTTTGAAAATAGGGCATCTTACCATCAATTTTCAACGTTTTCAAGTTTGTTTTCATGGATCTACTCAAACTACACTATTTTTTAAGCTTGAAAATTTATAATTAGAGATGAAAATATATTTTAAGGCTATCACAAATATTTTTAGCATTGAAACCACATTTCTCGACGCTATTTGAAAGTGTGTTTTACTTTTGCTTGTTTAGAGCCTTGGCTCTATACTACCTGCACCGTAAATATTGACATGTATTTTTTTTATGGGTTGTCTAAAATAGACCATTTATCTTTTGTACATAGATGTCAAAATCATTTTTTAGTGAAGTCCAAAATTTTGTCTTTTTGAAAATTTACATTTATTTAATGACACTCTTACAACCACCCATTTTAAAATTCAATGGACGATAATGATTGTGACTTCTATGTGCAAAAGATAAAAAATTTTCTGGTAGACAATCTCATTATTTAAAGGGTGTGGTTTCTATAAGGTTGCAACTTTAAACAATTCAATTAAAGTGTACCTTGACATTTTATCTTAACATGTAATTTTGTTGTAAAAAATTCTTAGTATTATCTTAAAATCTATTTTCATACCTAATTAGAAAATTTTAAATTCCAAAAATGGTTAAAATCAGGTAGATCTATAAATATATGAAAATATTGAAAATGGACAATCTATATAATGTGTTGCAAGATGCATTATTTCTGATATTCAAAAACTTTTTTTTTTCATATTCATAGATCTTGATGTCGAGATGATTGATGAGATGGCTTTTTCAACATTAAAACAACATTTTCGATGAAGTTTTTAGGCCCATATGTGATTCTACATTTTAAGGTTGCAACCTTACATAAACTTTTCCCTTATTTAAAAGGTGTCGTTTCTATAAGGTTGCCACTCTAAACAATTCAATTAAGAGGCTCTTCCAAATTTTAACATAACATGTAATTTTGTTGTAAAAAATTCATAGGATTATTTTTAAATCTATTTTTTTATCTAATTAAAAAAAAGTAAATCTTGAAATGGTTAAAATCAAATAGATATATAAATATATGAAAATTTTGAAAATTGACGGTCTAGATAATGTATTACAAGATGCATTATTTTTTAGACTAAAAAACTATGGTTTTTTTCATATTCATACATCTCGATGATCGATTAGAGGGTTTTTCAATATTAAAACAACATTTTCGATAGATTTTTGAGGTGCATATATGATTCTACATTTTAAGGTTGCAACCTTATAAAAGCTTTTCCATTATTTAAAGGGTGCGGTTTCTATAAAGTTGCAACCTCAAACACTCCAATTAAGACGCACCTTAAAATTTTATCATAACATGTAATCTTGTTACAAATAATTCTTAATATTATCATAAAATCTATTTTCATACATAATTATAAAATTTTAAATCTAAAAATGGTTAAAATTAAGTAGATCTATAAATATATGAAAATATTGAAAATAGACAGTCTATATAATGTGTTGCAAGATACACTATTTTTTAGGACTCAAAACTTTTTTTTTGTCATATTCATACAACTCAATGTCGAGATGATCAATTAGAGGGTTTTTTCAACATTAAAACAACGTTTTCGATAGATTTTTGAGGTACATATGTAATTCTACGTTTTAAAGTTGCAACCTTATATAAATTTTTTCCTTATTTAAATATTATAATTAAAATGTATTATAATATCAATTAAATATATTAAAATATTATTATTAAAATAATATTATTCGGGTTCGGATCCACATGAATCCAAACTTAAATAATGTTTGGGTCCAATACTTGGACAGAACTTGATCGATCGGATCTAATTTTTGGACCCATATCCAGACTCAAGTCAGGTCCAAACATCGGGTCTTGAGTCAGGTTCAATCCCATAGCCACCCGAAATTTAGGATGACCCATTCAGGAACACCAATGAATCCTTCAATGATTGATTTCTCTGCGAACAAATGTTGTCTTAAAATGCAGGGCACAACAAATGGGGCAGATAATTAGGACAAAAAAAAGGCAGAGAGGACAGGACCAAGAAATGGAGGAGCACAAAAATGGAGGAGCGAGAAAAAGGATGGGAATATACGGGACAGCGATGCAAAATATTGCAATCAACGGTCCACGAAATTTCAATCTAGTGTTTGTTAATAGAAAAAAAAAAAAAGGAAGAAGAGTAAAGTAAGGAAAGAAAAGAGGAGAAGGAGAGAGGGTAGGAGTGAGTGCGTGGAGGAGAGAAGAAATAGGTGGTCTTGTGGTGCATGAAAGAGTTGGTTATACGGACTAAGAGGTTTGGGGTAGGAAGGAGGAGAGAGAAATATTTGTTAGGAAGAGAGGGAGGAGCACAAGAGTTGAGTTTGTGCTATAACAACCCCCTCCTCTCCCTACCTTTGGCTCTCTGTCTTCTTAGGCAGCCTTGGGCCTGACTTAGATGCACCAAAAAAATGAAGGCCTTGGGCTGCATTTTTTTTCTTATTTTCTCTCTCGTCTTTCTCTTTCTACGTCTCTCATATGCTGTCACTGATACGGAGGCACGGTTTATCGCGGGCCGTCAGCTCCTCCACTTGCGGGAGGGGGAGGATTTGCCTGACGACCTCGAATTCCATGTCGATACCAACCTCACGTTCCCGAACCCTCGCCTCCGCCGAGCTTACATAGCCCTGCACACATGGAAGGAAGCCATCTTCTCCGATCCTTACAATGTAACCTCGAATTGGGAGGGCGCCGACGTGTGTTCTTACAAGGGGGTGTTCTGCGCCCCTGCCTTGGACGACCCGTCGATCGACGTCGTCGCCGGCATCGACCTCAACCACGCCGACATCGCGGGATATCTACCTCCTGAGATCGGCCTCCTCACCGATCTTGCCCTCCTCCACATCAACTCCAACAGGTTTTGCGGCATTGTGCCCAAGAGCTTCAACAAGTTAGAGTTGTTGTTCGAGCTCGACTTGAGCAACAACCGGTTCGTCGGGCCGTTCCCGACCGTCGTCATCTCTATTCCGGCGCTCAAGTACCTCGACCTCAGGTACAACGACTTCGAGGGCCCCCTCCCCTCAGAGCTGTTCGATAAGGACCTCGACGCCATCTTCCTCAACAACAACCGCTTCCATTTTCACATCCCTGAGAACATGGGCAACTCTCCGGCCTCAATTGTCGTGTTAGCCAACAACAAGCTCGCGGGTGCATCCCCAGCAGCATCGGCAAGATGGCCAAGACCTTGAACGAGATCATGTTCATCAACAATGACCTGTCAGGGTGCTTGCCACCAGGGCTCGGCCTGCTGAAGAATGCGACTGTCATCGATGTGAGCGGCAACTCCCTATCAGGGCTCCTCCCTACTGGCCTCTCCGGCCTTGCCGGCATCGAGCGACTCGACATTGCCCACAACAAACTCACCGGCTACATCCCATCGAGCCTTTGCACCCTCCCCTACCTGACCAACTTCAGCTTCTCCAACAATTTCTTCAAGGGGGAGGCCTCTGTGTGCGTGCCCACCGCCACTTCTAACGTGCTGCTCGATGACACTGTCAATTGTATCCCCAACAGGCCCAAGCAGCGCTCCGCCCAGCAATGCGCAGCAGTGCTCTCTAACCCTGTCGATTGTTCCAAGTTCAAATGTAGCAGCAGCAGCAGCCCCAAGACGAGCCCTCCTACGCCCCCTAAGAAGACCCCTTCGCCACAATCTCCTCCTTCCGGGACTTCTCCGATTGCAAGACATAGGCCCCCTCCCCCACCAGCACATAGAGAGTCGCCCATTGTGAGGGTGCACTCACCACCACCACCACCAACAGTTGTCCACTCCCCTCCTCCATCTCCACCACCACCGCCACCGGTGCTTAGCCCACCACCCCCCACCGTCGTTTACGCCCACCACCACCCAGTCGCACTACGCCCCCCACTCCCCCAGTCCACTACGCCCACGTCCGACCACCCCTACCGTCGTACGCCACCGACCTCCAAC